AGTGATTATCTCAGCTGGTGCTTCAAAACATAATCTAAATCCTTCTGTTAGCAGTAAATCCACAGAAATCTATAAAACCTAAAGTGTTTCTGATTATTATCAAACATTTGTTGAGCTTTTGACTAATGATCTTCTATTCTAGTATTGTTTAGAGACAAACATTTATTTGAGATTCCTATCCAGAGAAACTCGTAACACAAATTTGGTTTAAAGAGTGAAAATAAGGGAATTTTACAAAAATTAAAATAATGTTACTGTGGTTAAATACTCAAACAATACAAGTTTTTTCCTATTGAAATGATTTACAAATGACAATGGTAATAAAGTCAAAAGAAAAATTGAAGTCCTTCAGTTAGCAACTCTTGCAATTATTTTTTAGCTTTATAGGGTTAACCTTATTGGGTTGATTAAATCCAAGCTGCGATCTTTCATAAAAACTCAATGGAGGGTCCAGATGGCCCAACAATACCTCCTTTTGTGAGAGGAAATAACTTGAAGATTTTTGTCTAATTAAAGTATTTGTGCTGGTGGGACCTGAATGAATTGTTATTCTTTTAAGAGGAGTCTACATTGCAAGTAATTTTTATAAAATAGTAATGGTTTCAAAAGAGAGTGCTGTTTTCACTGTTTTAGATATGTCCTAGAACTAGAGTAGTATGCACATGACATTTTGACGCTAGAGTCTGATACCATCTTTGGGATTTCAGTCTGAAAATACCATTCTGGAAAATCAACAGAACAAGGCTCTGTAGAACAAAATGCCAAGAAGGTCAATGCATTACTTTCCTCTTGTTCCAGTCCCATGCTCATGATTACCTTAACTCTTGTCAAAATATTTTCTACAGTAACAGCCAAAGCATAATTAGCACCTTTTCTTTATGTTGAAAATACCATTGGTAATCATAAAACAAATCTGAAGAAAGCCCTTAAGCACCTTAACTCAGCAAATGGCTACTAGGGGTGCTATTGGTATACTGTTGTTTGTGCCCTCTAACACCCCCCCCCCACACACACACCTGCAGTAGTAATACTTTATCTTAACTTCCCCACACCAGTAGCTTTACCTGTATGAAACAGAATTCTAGACAAGAGATGATGATGTTAGGAAGGGTGGGGAATGAGTTGAGAAATGTAGTAGGAAATTAGACAATAATCTAGTAAGGCTTTGAGTAGTAGTATGTATCATTATTCTGTCTTTTGTGTTTTTCCTATAATCAAGATGATATTTTGAGGCAGTTCATTTTCTAGAAGCCCATCAACAGAAAAAATGTATTGGCCAATTTTGTCATGATTGAAAAGGTCCTCCATTTGCCTTTTCTATTGAGTCCACAAAAACCAAAGTTGTTATGATCAAAGATTTCCAGCAGGGGGTGTAGCCGCTTCGGTAGGGTAAGTTCTTTTGAAGTGCTACATTCATTCATTTGGATATTGCCATTACTGAGGGATTACTATAACATTTTTTTGTATAACTGTCACCTCTTTTGATCCAAAAAAGATCATGCATATTAATGCTTTATTAGAATGTTGAGCTAGAAATTTGTGGAGAATATTGAAATTAAAAACCTAAAATCCTTGACTGAAATCTTAATCCTTTGCCAAGTTTTTCAGGGTAAGTGAAGAACAAAGCTTTGGGTGATTTTAATTATCCAGCACAGCAGAACAAGTGCTTGTGCTTAAATTTTTTCTAGAGATGTTGATGTGAGAGGCCTTGGTATTATTTATTCCATCTCCTCTATGTTTGCACTCATGAATATAAAGAATAAATTCCTTATGTCTCAGAATATCTCCTTTAGGTGTGGGTGGGTGAATGTTCTAAAGTTTCTCTGAAGGAGTGGCTCCTGATCAAGTTTAAGAAATGACGTTTATTCCCTTTTTTCTATTCTGCATTGTAATGCTTTTTACTTGTAAATACACAAACATCAACACTCACAGCCTTTTGGCCCCCAATTCCCATTTTCAGATTTGTTGGTACAGGAAAACACATGCTTTGATTTTTGGAGAAAAGCGAGTAACATAAAAATGATTAAAAATAATAGCTTACTTGTACCAGTAAATACCTTTAAGCTAATAGTATTAATAAGAAGAGAATTTCTTAGTTTCCAGACCCTTTAAATAAGGATGATGTAGGACAAAAACGTCAGCTATGAATTTTTTATTAAAAAAACATTTTTAGTGCCTGAACAAAATGAGATTTAAAATCTTTTTCTCCTCAATGTCATGCCCTGTAACTGAAAATTATGCCTTTTTATGTTAATATTTCCTTTAAAGCCCCAATTTATTTGCCTTGGGGTTATATGATGAAGGTCCATGGTTAAAAATCATTTCAGGGTGGACATGCTATAGTGTTTAATATTTTACCAAGGTTATGACTTTTCATTGACCGTGTAATTTTTTCCCTTTTTACCCCTACTTCTGTTTTTTAATATTGTTGTTTATTAGGGTGTTGTACAGAAAAGGGGGTTATCATTTCATAAAGTCAGGTAATGAGTAGACTTTATGTAATTTTAAAGGCTTTTAGTAGAGATTTTAAACAGCATTTAAATATATTGGCTTTCCAGCTCATATAAGTGGTATGAGTATAGGGTATCCGATTTTGCTGTTTGGGGCCCTTCTTCCCAATATCCTTTTCTCCCCCTCTTCTACCCTTAGTTTTTACTTTTACTGCAAGTTTTCTTCAGTGTCCTTTTCCTTTTCGGTTACATTGTAACTGAAGCAGCTACTTTTTTGCTTGACATCATTCAGATACAAGGAAGAGGCAGAAAAACGAATTTTAGTTTTTGGTGCTTTTGTCTGTTCAATTTACCTTTGAGAAATATGGACAGTGGAGGGACATGGGGGAAAGAACAAACGAACAGAATTTCTGCTGGAATATTGTGACAGATTTACTGACAAATATTTTCTAACAGATTCTTACCAACCGGCAGTTTTTGTTTTCTTTACTGACAGATCGTAAACGTACTTCTGGTTGGCAGCAGCTGCACCATTATAGCACTAAAAAGCAACCTTGGCCAACTTCAGTACCTTATGTAACACAGCATAAGAAATAGAGTAACATGAATTGTCTAGAATTATTTTTTTCATGTTAACTTTCTAAGATCAACTTTACAGTGCAAGAAATAAATTTTTCCCAAAGAGAAATCCCCAATTAATTCTTTCAAATGTATAAAAAAATCATTTAGAACAATGATGTGGGGGTGGATTGGTGGTGTTTCTTTTTTAATCTGGAGGCAATCATTTTGAAGAGTATTCTATGTAAGAATCTGATGACCTTGGAGGAGTCACAGTACTTAGTTTCTTCAATAGCAAAAAGACGGTACTTTGCACACGGTGTATACACTGCCATTCAGTGTCGATGCATAGAAGAGAAATACCCAGCGTAGTCCAAAACTTGTGAAATTTCTGAAAATACACACACACACATACACACACACACGGCATAATGAAACCAGGTGACCGACAGACCGTAACGTGGAACTTATTAGAGGTGTGGGCAGGGGTTCTTTTGGGTCACCCTAAAGCCCACCCCCAAATCTGGACGTCTCGCTCAACTTCCAGAAGAATCTAGGGCCTACACAAGCCCAGTCCGGTGTGGATGGAGAAGTGGACTCCTCTGGCCGCTCCCGTGGAGTTCTGGCTTGTAGGTGAGGGTAGCACCGGGTCCTGGGCGGGTGAGGTCCCCAGCAGGCGACAGATTTCCCGCCGGAGAGCCCGTCCCCGCGGGCGGGCGGGCGGGCGCGGGCGCAGGTTCCCCCCCGGAGCCCCCCGAGGACGCACCGACCGGCCATGCGCGCCCTGGCCATCTTTCGCAGCCGCGAACACATCCAGTTCCTTCGCGGGGTCGCGGCGTGCTCCTGAGTCACGGCCAAAAAGCCGGCACGAAAGAAAAGAAAAGGGAGAAAGCCGTGAGCAGCCGTCGGGCAGCCGGCGAAGAGTGGAGGAGGGGACGGAGGCGGAGCGGAGCGCCGAGAAAGGAGACCGCGGAGCCGAGACACTCACGCCAATGGGTAACAGGGAAAAGGTGAGAAGAAATGGAGTAGGAGAGCGAACCAATGGGCGGGAGAGGCGGAGGAAGACGGGGGAGGGGCGGGAGCCAATGGGGGAGTGGGGACGCGAGCGAGGACGCGGCCCCGCGCGCTCGCTCCCCTCCCTCCGGCGCGGTTGCTCGCGCCTTCCCGGGCTCCCGGGAGACGAGGGCAGGGGCGGGGCCCAGCCGTGCGCGCGGCGCGGGAGGGAGGGAGGCG